GAGGACAACAGAATTAGACACCGGCACAGTCTGGGCCAGGAGCATGGTCCGCTCACACCTGCCTCTCCAGGTTACACAGTTCAGGATCCAAGTCCTGCGTAAACGCATCTGACTGGAGAACCGAAATCCCATCGAGAACAGCTGCAGGGAGCCTGGGGTCATGGTTTTCAGCTCCCGGCCACTGCGGTCCAGGAAGGCCAGCCAGACGAGACCTAAGCCAAGTCCCCACATCCCCCACGAGGGGACAAGCCAGGAGTGTCCAGGACTCCGGGCCGCCCTCTGTGCTATGCGCCATGGGGTCAGCTGCCTCCCAGCCATGGGCCACACCTGATCAGAGTTCCTTAGAAGCCGGGCTGCTTGCCTTCCTGCCTTGGCTCTGGTGACCTTGGGATTTTGCAGACCCTCGGGAAGAGCTGCCCAAGACAGCACCCCGACTCCAGACCCTGTCTGATGGGCTGTGGACGTCCGCACATTCCACAGAATGTGACTAGCTGTGGAGCTCAATGTGAAATGGCCCTTTGCTGGCCGGGTCCTGCCTTCAGCCTGGACACTCGTCCCCATGTCCTGCCCAGATGAGCTCTGGGCAGAGCCAGAGTTTCCTGGCTGCTTCGGTTATGAAACACACGTCCAGGTTTAGCCCAGCCTCATGTGCGGTTTACAACTCTCATCTACCCTCCCTGTAGGTGAGGCTGGGGGCCCCAGGTTCCCCTCCTACGGGCAGCCCCTGCAGAGGAGGCGGGGGTCTCTTAGGGCCAGATTCCTCTTCCCCAGGGCCCTTCACGAGAGGAGGCTCCTCACCCACAGCTGCCAGCATGCCCCACACCCCATTGTCTGCCACGCAACCCCCAGCAGGCCCACGCCCTGCACCCCTATAGCCTCCAGCCAGCTCCTGTGGTGCCTACGCCATGAGTGGGCCTGGGAGTCTCCCTGCCCTTGGTGGCCTTCCTGCCCCAGGGAGCCTCACCCCACCAGGGACGGCCCTGTGGATCAGGATGGTTCTGCTGGTGGTTACACTGGCTCGGGGCCCATCCCCCACTGCTGGACCCCGCCCCACACAAGGGAGCCTCTGAGCAGGCATCTGGGGCTCCAAAGTCCAATAGGAAACTAGCAGGGGGAGGGGTCCAAGCCTGGGCTCCTCTCCTAGGGTTAGGAGTCAGCTTCAGAGTTAGGGCTGGGTTGGGTTAGGGGTTAGCATGAGGGTTAGGGTGAAGGTTGGTTTAGGGGTTAGTATTAGGGTTAGGATTGGGCTGGATCAGGGGTTAGAATTAGGGTGAGGGTTGGGTTAGTGGTTAGCATTAGGGTTAGGGCGAGGGTTGGTTTAGGGGTTAGCGTTAGGGTTGGGTTGGGGTTCAGGCTCTGCCTCCCATGATGCCCAGGGAGCTTCCGGGGGTGAGGGTGGTGAACGGCCGGCATCAGGAAGCTAAGTCCCGCCCTGCCAGTCTCGCTGGAAGATTCTGGCTCCCTGGTGGCCCAGGAGTCACAGAATCCCCCCAGTTGCCTCTCCCCTCCCCCTTGCTTTGTCTCACAAGGCGGGGACCTCCACTATGTCCACAGGTTGAACTGAGACACTCCCTTTGTCCCCGCCTCACCGCTGTCAATGCTGGTGGCCTGGCTGGTGTGGGGCTGAGCCCACGGCCTCTGCAGATGTGGGAAACTCTTGCAGTCAGTGCAGCAGGGAGGCAGAGGGGCTGATCTGGCCTGGGCGTCCCAGCGGGCAGCAGGTCCCGGGGTGCGTATGCTCACATGTGGGCTGCAAAGAACTGAGGCACGGGGAGAGGTGGGGTGCTCTGGGGCCAGGCAGCGATGTCATCTCAGGGTGCTCTGCCGCCCCTCCTTCAGCAAGTGTCCATCATGGGCTCCAGGCCCCGCCAGTCAAGAGGTCACAAGATGTGATGGGAGGGGAGGGCAGAGAAAGGAAGTGGAGGGGAGGGCAGGAAGGGGAGGGCTGTACCCCGGGAGAGCTGAGGACTTGCAAGCACCTACAGTGGGAGCTCCAATGAGCATGAAGGAGCTTTGGGGCCCCACAGTGTTGGGGTCTCTATGGCCTTCCTTAGAGAGGAGATGTTTTCCCCTATGTCAGTGGGGCAGGGGGCACAGTAAGGCCAGGACGGTGGGCAGCTTATGGACCTGACTGAGCTCACAGTGCAAGGGACGGGACCTCTGGTGTCCTCCTGGTCCTCTCCCCTTCTCCCTCTTCCAACAGGAGGTGGGCAGGGCCCAGCAGACCTTCACCAAGGGGAAGGCCAGATCCCGGGCTGGGGCAGCCCAGCCAATTGGGGCAGGGAGGGACGGGCCTGCCCCTGCCCTGTGCACCTCCTGAAGGGCCACGTCTGGGTGGTGTACAGGCTCTGGGCTGATTCTAGGGTAAGGGCCAATGAAGAGTCCCCTGGCAGCAGGGAAAGGGCCCCCCAAAATGTGAGATGGGACTGGCTGGCACTCACAGGATGCAGGGCTGAGGAGAGGCCCTGCCTTCACCACCCAGGCCTCAGTCCACACTCTCCTTGGGACCTGGGGTCACGCATGCCGGGCAAACCCACCACAGGCACCCTGGCATGGAGAAGGGGTGGCAGGAGGATGCCAATCACCATGTGACCCCAGGCCTGCAGGACAGGCCAGCAACAGTTCACCTGCCCCACCTGCATCCATCAGAGAGCCAGGGATGGCACCGGTTCTTCACCCACACATCCTTATCCTATGCTTTCAGCCACTTGGCCTGTGGATAGAAACCCCCACAGGCGGCCGGGCGCGGTGGCTCAAGCCTGTAATCCCAGCACTTTGGGAGGCCGAGGCGGGTGGATCACGAGGTCAGGAGATCGAGACCATCCTGGCTAACATGGTGAAACCTCGTCTCTACTAAAAATACAAAAAACTAGCCGGGCGTGGTGGCGGGCGCCTGTAGTCCCAGCTACTCGGAGGCTGAGGCGGGAGAATGGCGTGAACCCGGGAGGTGGAGCTTGCAGTGAGCCGAGATCGCACCACTGCACTCCAGCCTGGGCGACAGAGCGAGACTCCGTCTCAAAAAAAAAAAAAAAAAAAAAACCCCCACAGGCCCAGGGCACTCTGCTGTGTCAGCGCCCGCTTCCTCCAAACAGTGGAACCGGACACTCCGCCACCTGCTGGCTCTGTCTGGACCATGAGGACCACGCGGCCCCACACCAGCACGGGTGCGCTCCCGGGAGCTGGCACTTGGTTCTAGCTCTCGCTGGAAGGGTGAGCGGCGCTGGCAGTTTCCGTGGAGGTCTCTATCCTCCGAGCACGGCGACACTCAGGCAGCGTGGCATGAGAGAAGCAAGCGGGGCCTGGGGCTGCCTCCACTCACACACTGGGCCAGGCTCCTCACCCACCCCCACTTCTGCACGGTGGGCAGAGCGAAGCCTACCAAGCACCTCACAACACAGACGCTCCTGTGACTCGCACTGCACACGCCCTGGTCAGGCTCTCACCTTCCAAGTCACCTGACGCTTTCCAAACACAAACCACCCTCAACTTCCAATCATTTTTAAGCATCTGTTTGGTGAAGCATCTCTACATACCTACACTTCAGTCTACACACAATGTACACTGATCACTCATTTGCACCCCCCCAAAAATAAAGTACTTTAAAATATAAACACTCATAAAAAGGACAATAAAAAATAAAGAATTACTATCATATAGGTGGAGGTAACATCTAACCTGAATGTTAAGGTAACTAAATTGAATACTAAATTATCTCTGAGATTCCTGGCAGCAAAGGTGAAAAGAGAGAGTTCCTGTTGCTGGAGAAAATGAAGCATCCCACTGATTGGCCTTGAAACATCAATCACCAGTACTCCTGGCCTTGGAAAAAGCTGTTTTATATCTTAGTAGAAAAAGCAAGGCACAGGGCCAGGCGTGGTGGCTCACACCTGTAATCCCAGCACTTTGGGAGTCTGAGGCGGGCGGGTCACTTGAGGCCAGGAGTTCGAGACCAGCCTGGCCAACATGGTGAAACCCCTTCTCTACTAAAAATACAAAAATTAGCCAGGCATGGTGGCAGGTGCCTGTAATTCCAGCTACTCAGGAGGTTGAGGCAGGAGAAGTGATTGAACCTGGGAGGCGAAGGTTGCAGTGAGCCAAGATCACCCCGGGGCAGGGCCTCCCACAACAGGCACAGCCAGAGGGGCAGGAAGCAGGCAGGGCCCCAGATATGTGGCTGCTGCCTTCCCCTAGGCAAGCTACCTTGGACTTTTCCCAGGTCTCTCTCCATATTGTTCACCCCATTACTGGACTGAAATTTTGGTACTAGGGTTGCTCAAACATTGTGAGAACAAAAAGTTTAGGGCAGTTTGTTTGAGCTACACATCCCACTTAGTGCTCTAGAAAAACCTGGTCTCTGTTACTTTGCTCTGGAAACAGGGCTCATGTTCCAATGTACCTGGAACAGTGGAACAAGGCTCATGTTTACCTACAGTGCACTTTGTAGGTAAACAAGGGCAAGCCAGCTCCTCAGCACAGGACTTATCGGCGCCTTCAGCAGGTGAACCTGAACCCGAGCCCCCTCTCGTGAACCCTCACGCTTGTGGAGCACCCCGTGTCCTCTGCGTGCATATCCACAGCCTGCGGGCCCTGTGTGGGAGAGGCTCGCGTGGTGGAAGGAGGCGGAATGTCACGATGGACAGCCCAGGTTGAAGTCCCATTGGGATCATTTCCTGATGGTGTCACAGGCAGTCATTCTGTTTCACTAAGCTTCAGGTTCCTCATTCTTCACACGGATGTGATGGCAAAACCATCCAGCCTGGAGGTGCTGCTGTGCCCGAGGGCAACAGTGGGGAGCACAGCACACATGGCTGTGACACCTGCCTCAGGGAATAGCAAAAGCATCATCAGTTACCACCTACTACAGAAGTGACAGCAGCCATCGCCGGGGGTCTGCTGGAACAGGCGCTAGGGCCCCGGGCCAATGGGGTCCTTGGAGGCGGGGGCGCTGGGCAGAGACTTCAGGTACTCCAGGTGCCTCCGGGCATCCTCCTGGTTGTGGCGCACATAGTACACGATATAGGCGATCACCATGGCGAACCAGCCGAACATGGTGACCAGCATGGCCACGTCTGTGGTCCTGTGGGGGACGCTGCAGAGGCTGGCACCTGCATCCAGAGCCTGAACCAGAGGCTTCCCCACAAACTCCTCCTGCACTGAGGTGTGGCAGGCGATCTCGTCCACAGAGTCGGGGTCCAGCTTCAGCTCCCACAGGGCCTCCTGCAGGGCACACTCACAGTGCAGGGGGTTGTGGGACAGGCGTATCTTGGCACTGAGCTTGCCCAGGGCGTCCTTGGGGATCCTCTGGATGCGGTTGTAGGACAGGTCCAGCAGCCGCAGGCCCCCCGCCAGGCCCGCGAAGGTGGCGGGGCCAATGGCCTCGATGGCGTTGTGAGACAGATCCAGCTCCCTGAGCCGGTGCAGGTGCTGGAAGGCCCCGTCCGGGAGGTGGGAGATCTTGTTGGCATCCAGCTTCAGGAGCACGGTGTCGGCCGGGATGTCCTGGGGGACCTCCTGCAGGCCCCGCAAGCTGCAGTAGACAGCCACAGCCCCTGCATGGTCAGGGCACCGGCAGGGCTGCGGGCAGGTGGCGCCCAGGCGCAGGCAGAAGAGGAGGAAGAGACAAGACCCCCGGGTGGAGACCAGCAGGAAGGACGGGCGAGGCAGGCGCACGGTGCCCATCCTGAGCTGGCCTGGGAATGGGGAGATGCGCGCCTCTGCTCAGGCCTGGAGATGGAGCTCTTTTCTGCTGGCAAGGCCTTATCCAACCAGACAAGAACCCGCCATCCTGTTGGGCTGGGAGAAGCAGTGCACTCCACTCTGGCAGCTCTGAAAGGGAAGACGCAGGAGGGAGGGGAGAGGGAAGGAGTGTGGTCAGCACTGCCTGCTGCAGTCATCTGGGAAACGCGTCCACTGGTGGGGAGGGTGTCCAGGGCCCGCTGAAGGGTCTGGGATGGGGAGCACGCCTCCTTAAACAGCTCTGCCTGTAACTTACTTCTGGAGACTCCCAATGCGCCCGGGAGGAGCGTCCCACAAGTGCAAGGAGCTGGCACTGCCAGGGGGCTCCGTGTGGCCCAGTCGGTGGTCACTGCGGTCAGCCCTGGCCACCTCCCACACCGCTGGGGACCAAAGGCGGGGTGGCGGCGGCCTGGGACCAACCAGCCCCTCCTCAGGGTGGATGCCAGGAGGACGGGGACGGCTGGAGCTTCTGCCAAACCTGGAGCGCGGGTCAAGACGGGCACGTGGCCGGGCACCAGCGGGCGCTCGCGCGGCAGGGGCTACTCCCACAGCCAACGCCTGGCTGACTCCGACAATCCCTAAAAACTGTAATAACCCAGCAAGCCCTTCCCTGCCAGCCCTAAAGGAGCCGCGGCTCGCCCCGGGCGCAGAACCGCGCCTTTTCTTTCAACTGCCTGAAGAAAGAAGCGGAGAAAACGGAGAAGCCAAGCCCTGTGCGCGCGGCCCGCGTTGGGCGTGGACGGCGGGGC